GAGAGAGAGTGTGTGTGTGAGAGAGAGAGAGAATGTTGCTTTTTATTTATTTTTTGTTTTAACTCTTCAGGTAATTATTTCACTTCGTGGATTGTGTGAGGAAAGTCGAGTGAGAAAAAAAGAGATAGAATATTTTTGTAGAGGGAGAAAAAAAAAGTGAAAATGAGAAAAGATTAGAAAAAGTTTTGAGGAAAAGAGGGAAAAAAAGATTTGTGAAAGAATAGCGATAAAATAATGGCCGTGATGTTGGTAATGGTGATAGTTTGTGGAGTTTAGTGTTAGTGGAAGTAAATCTTTGTTAGATGGGAATGGGAAATAGGGAGGAAAAAAAAAGAAAAAAAGAAGGAAAATATAGGGAGAAGAGAGAAAGTAAGATAACTGTGAAAGAATAGTGACTCCTTGAATAAGCAGTTGGTACGGTCCTCTTATCTCATCGTATTTTCTTTTTTTTTTTTTTTTTAGTTTCTTTTGGTTCGAGTCTTTTTTGTTAAACAAGCGGCCAGCAACGAATTCGAACGATTTTTAGGATTTCTCGAAAATCTGTGGTGTACTCTCTTCAACACATCCTTCGTTTCCATCAAACGAACCCTTGACCACGACTCGACCGAAATTCGAATCAACTGTGCTCGAAAAAGCAATGTTAGATTACAGGGTTTGTCTAAAAAAGTATTTGGGCTATTAAAGTTTGTTTTTCATTTTTATTGATAAAATGTTCAGCTAGGAAGTTATTTATCGCTGGTCAAAAATGCTAAAACAATTGAAAATGAGTGTTTGATATATCTTAAATAATTGTTAATTAATTAAAGGAAATGTGTATTGTTGTAAAGAAGCACGGAGTATATGTTTTTATGCATCTTTCTCTTTGAGATTCATCATCAAACTGACACGTTGTTCCCCATCAAAATTTTTTTATTGACAGTTGTTTACATGACTTTACGAACATTATGCAATTCAAATTAGAACGTTTTAAACTTAAATTCTCTTTATATTAGAAATATTCTAATCGTTACACACATGCGTTACCTTCGGAAAGTCATATAAACAACTTTCTATATAAGAATTTTGATAGACGACAACGTACCAGTTTGAAGGTGAATTTTGAAGAGGAAGGTACATAGATCAATAATTCTAAGCTTTTCAATAATAATAGACATTCCTATCGATTAATTAACTATTATTGAAGGTGTATCTGACACTCTAATGTAACGAGATTATTTACACGACATTTTTTGGAATTTGATATTTAATTGTAAAATATAATTTAATTTTTTTGCTTTAATTTAATTACATTGTATTATAATAAGAAATTAATTTACACACTATTATTATTATTATTATTATTATTATTATTAATAGTATTGTAAAAATCAATACTCGATTAGCAATATTTTTCGTTAGAAACTTTTACGAAGATATCTTGTATGAAAAATTAGATAGATAGAAAGAAAAAAGAAAAAAGAAAAATAATGAAACTCAAGTCATAGATAGTTAGAACGAGTAAGAAATAAAGAGAGTGAGATAGATAGAGAAAACCTAAACTAGTATGAGAGTTAATTTATGTAGGTTAGTTTAAAAGATGGACGAGAGAGAGAGAGAGAGAGAGAGAGAGAGAGAGAGAGAGAGAGAGAGAAGAAGACTTGGATGTAGAAGCTCGAAATTCGTCTAAATCAGCATGATGATAGAGTAGGACAGCAATAGATAGGAAACATAGTTTGTTGTATATACTAGTAGTTGTTGTAATAGTAGTAGTAGTTGGAAGAGCATATACAGTATTCTTGGTCGGAGAAGTCCGAGAGCACTCGATGGGCTAAGTAAATCAGAGGGCTTTGCCCGAGAACCCAGGTCGCCCTCTTCAGGGCTAGAGAGGCAGAGGTGCTAGGACCAACACAAAGGGTTGCCTAAGAGCTCTTCACCGAGCACACTATTCCTCTCTCTCTCTCTCTCTCTCTTACTCCCTTCGAGGTATCCACCATCGGCTACTACTCTTCCCTCTCTCTCCCTCTCTCTCTTTCCCTTTCGACCACCGACTTGCTCCCTTCGTGACGTGATTGCTACCGAAATGTGTTTACGGCGTAAACCGTATCAAAATGTCGGCGTTCCCAACCATCGTTTCGTAACCTCCTCTTACAACCCTATCGTCGTCCTTCCTCCCTTTTCCTCTTTTTTTTATTTTTCTTCTTTTTTTCTTCGAGTACATCGATAAAACTTACTGAAGAATAGAAATCTTTTCGTCAATTTCCAACTATTGTTATCCTTCTTTCACTATTTTGTTCTTCATTTTCATCGTGAGATACCCTTCTTCTATTTTTTTTTTCTTCCACCCACCTATCTACCCACCTTCACTTTTACTAAAATCTTCTTCTCAGTTTTTTTATTTATTTATTTATTTATTATTTTTTTTTTTGTTGAAAAGGAGCTCTAATTTTTTTTCTTTTCCTTCTCTATTTTTGTGGACGCGATATTCGAAATTGTGGATCGTTATTTTTACACTTGGATGAATTTTTATGAAAAGGTCATCCCTATCCCTTCGGTAGATGGAAAAAGAGTGGATTGTGGAAATGCGTTTGTTCGTAACTCGTGTAATAATATTTTGACATTTTATATTAAAAGCTTCGAACTCTCTCTTTCTCTTTCTCTCTCTCTTTCTCTCTCTGATAAGAGCTTGAAAATGCTAGTGCTAGATTAATTATAGTTTCTTTTCTTTTTTTTCTTTTCTTATTACTTTATTTTATTCAATAAGGTTAGAAAGAAAGTAGAAGATTTTCTTGATGTTTTAAAGAAAATATAACTCTTTTTGTTTTTTTCTTTTCTTAAGTTCGTTATGTCAATGTAGTGTACAGTAAAAAAAAAAAAAAAAGAAATAAACCAATTTACTATAATTACATTTTTATAGGATAATTATATCTAAGTAAAATCTTATACTAATTTAATTTTATATTTCTATCAAAGGTATTAAAAAAAAATATCATTGAAGATTTGCAATGAAAATAATTGTCATTACTCTTTTTTTTTTTCTTTTTTAATTAATAATATTTCAATAATTAATTAGATAAACTTCGTTTTATATACGATGCTCTCACATTGTTTGTTGTTTATCCTTTTAAACAATTTTCAATTATTTTATTAATTATTTAAAAAAATGAAGTACATAAAACGTCGTATTTAATGTTAATAAATAAGACAAATTTGTAATATATATTACAAAATATATTATATAATACGAGAATTTTCTTTAGATGGTCTGTACTTGTAACAACTTTTCCATACTTCGAATAAACAAATGGCTGAATGAAAACGATAGAAGATAGCAAGTGGCATGGATACATGGGTAATAATGGTCCAAGCCCAGACACCGAATAAACGAAGATGATCTGGTCGTACACCTGCACGAGATTTTTCCAAAGTATTCACTGTCCACAATGCTATATTTACAACGATCAAAAATGTGATCAATTCTTTACCAGGTTTTTCCTTTCCAGTGGTACAACGTCGTTTCCATGCCATCTGCCAATGCGATATTATTATAATAATCAAAAAAATGTTTAAAAAAAAAAAGAAAAAAAAGATATGACATTATATTTTGTTAAAATTGACTTACTTTAACGAGTAAAGTTTGACAGGTGCTTTGTACCAGCGTTAAAAAATCTGTGATCATTGACAACACCCACATAGGACCCATGGTTAAAAAGCTACCAACTATTCCAAATAAACAATGTAAGTAAACCCCAGATTGGGCAGCTGTTAAAAGGGTTGAATCTAATCTTGGTGTCTTAGAACTTTCTTTCTCATTCAAATGTTGAATCTTCAAAGCACCGGATATCGAAGCTATTACACCTGTCATTTTGTAGATATCATAGTCAGATTAAATTAATGATAATCTAAAGTTTGAGTTTGTTAGATCGGATTAAGTGGATTACCAACCCAATGATAAGATCGCAGCTTCTAAGGCTGTTACTTGTTGTATTGCCATTTTATGTTTTGTTTCTCTTAGTACGAAGAACATGATCAAACTTAAAATTGTTGCTGCTACTAAGAGTATTCCACCAAATAGGCCTCTAAAGTAAAACGAGAAATATTTTCAAATTGAAAATAATTTTAGAATGTTTCCTTTTTTTTCTGTTTTCTTTT